TCCTTTCTTCTGTGGTGGTAGGTGCCTTTGCTGTGGGGAGCTGGGGGAGTGGCCTGGGGCTCTCCCCCTAATCCACCTGCTCCACCACTGCCACCACCACTGTCCCTCCACCTTTCCACCTGCCTTCTGGCTCTGTTCTCTGCTCCCCGGCCCAGCAGTTTGCTCCGCCCTCTAACCATCCAAAGAACATAGCGGCAGCAAATGGACATTTGTTTTTCAGAAGCCCGTGGGTGCTCGTTTCCTTTCCCCTCCCTTGGCTTTGTCCTCCCTCCCCTGCTGCATTTGGCCGGTGGGCCCCCTTTTCCTCTGCCTCGTCCACTGCCCTGTTTTTGCAGCTGCTTGTCCCCTTTCCCTTTGCTGCCTGCCCCGCCCGTCCCCCTTCTACCGCCCTGTTTGCTCTGGTTTGCCCTGTTTGGTTTTTTGGTCCTTGATTACTTTGTTTGCCCCGCCCTTGTCCCATGGTGCAGGCGTGGTTGCCAGCCCCTTTTTCCCCCTCTTTTAGTTTGGTTGTTTTTGAACCCACTCTGTTCTTTGTTCCATGCCTGAGGCATACCTGATTTAGCCCTCCCCTGCATTCTGCCCCCTTGCTTCTTGACCTCCCTCCAGTTCAGCCCTTATTGCCTGCGTTCCCATGTTCCGCTGTTGGTGTTTGAGATTCCCCCCTCCCCCTTTTTTTTCATTGACTCCTTCACTGATGCACACTCCCCCATGATGTCTTAGTTTTTCCCTTCCTTTCCTTAGTGCAGCCAGGGGAGTCAGTTTCTTTTTCATCTTGTGCTGGAATTGTGTTCCTTGTCTTCCTTTGTCCTTTTCTGTTGGTGCCCCTCCACCCTGCTTTCAGCCTAGTGGGTTGGGTGTGGTAGCCGTTCTCCCCCCTCCCTTCCCCTTCCCTTCCCTTCCCTCCCACTCCTCCCTCTCCTTCCTTCTATTTCCCGGCCCTAGCGGCTGTCCTCTTCCTTCCCTTTCTGTGGTGTGTGATTCAGGGGGTGGGAATTCCCTGGCCACCCCTGCAGTTCCCTTACAGTCCCCCTCCCCACACCCTCCCTTGCGATGGCTGCCTCGACTGCCACTGCTGGGCTGCGTGCCATCATTGCCATTGAGGCACCGGTGGGCACGGATAGGGGCTCCCGAGACTCTGCTGCTGCCATGACCTCGGCCGCCTCCACTTCTGGGACTGCTCCCTTGGCTGGTGGGAAGGGCCGGGGGACTAAGAAGGGCAAGGGCCCTGCCCAAAAGGTGAAACCCCCCATGACTGTGGTTCCTTCCCCCGTTGCGGCCCCATCAATGGCCACAGCTCCCTCTTCTCCCTTGCCCATTGTTCCCTCCACCATCTCTGGGGGTGCCAGTCCCTTGGCCCCCAGGGCGTATGCCCAGGTGGCTGCAACCCCTCTGCTCACTGCCTCACCGTCTGCTCCAGCTGCCTCCCGGAATGCCATTCCCGGCGGCCAGGGCCCCTTTCCCACCCTCACAAGGAGCACGGGATGCGTTGCCTCCTGGTGCCGGCCTCGCCCCACGTAGAAACATATGTGTGGGCGTTGGCGTGGGTGGTGGGGCCCACGGCCGTGGTGGTGGCCTCTAAGATGTTGGGGAAGGTGGTGTTCTTCCTGGCGTTGGGGGCTGCTGCCCAGGAGATGGTGGAGAGGAGCTTGGCGGTGGGGGGCATCCACGTCCCCCTCGAGCCTTTGGAGGACCTGGGTGTATGAGTGGTTTTCTCCTCTGTTCCTCCCTTCCTCCCCAATGCTGCCCTTTTGTCTTCCCCTCCACCCTGGGGAGGCCCCTGTCCGTCCTCAGCCCCCTTTCATTGGGCTGTAAGGACCCTGCCCTCCGCCACGTTTTGTCATTCCGCCGGCAGGTGCAAGTTCAAATTCCACCGGCGGCATGTGATGGGGAGGCTCTGGAGGGGTCCTTTCTAGTGCCCCATCGAGGGGCCCAGTACCGGGTTTATTATTCTTCGGGGGTGGCCCGGTGCTTTCTCTGCCGGGTGACAGGGCACGTCCGGAGGGAATGCCCCCTGGCCCGGCTTGGAGGGGCATCTGGGACCCCCAATACCCAGAAGGGCGTCGGCTCTATCATTGCCGGCGGCCCTGATTGCCTGGTCCCTGGGGTCACCCCTCCTCCATCTGTGACCATTGTCAACTCCGCTCAGGTCTCGGGGGAGACCCCTCCCCAATGCGCCCCACTGCTGAGGTGGGTAGTAGACTGGGGCCCATGGAGGAGAGGGTGGCAGGGGCGGTAGCGGGACTCGAGCGGGGCTTGCCTCAGGGGGAGTTTGTCCCTTTCCCTGTTGTTCAGCCCTTGTCTTCCCTTACCCTCCCGTCATTGCCCTCGCTCCCAGGCCGTGACCCAGCTGGCCAGCCCCCCTCTTCAGGGAACTGGGAGCTTGTGCGGGGGAGACACCACAAGCTGGGAGCTCAGGCCCAGCACCCCCCCCTCATTAGCGAGGGAGAAGGGACCCCCTGTACAACTATGAAGGGGGTTGCTGGTGCTCAGCCTTCCGTTGACTCCCCTATGACGTTCATCATTTGGAGTCGGCCGAGGTCGCTGCAGACACGGAGGTGGGTAGTACCACCTCTCCTATGGAGTCCCTCCCTGAGGGGGTTATGGACGGCGCCCTCACTGCCCCGTTGCCATCTGTGCCCCCTGTAGGCGCCGCAATGGCTACTGCCCCGGCTGCTGTCGAGGGGGAACCAGTACAGGCGGGTGGGGACTTTGCCTCTATTTTTGCTGAGATCGAGGCCTTGGGCTTGACCCCAACCACTGAGGGAGTGGATGCCCCCCTGTTAGAAGGCCTTGGTAAGGGTGATTGCTCTCTGGTGCCCCCCCTTCCCCTTCCCTCTGCCTCAGGTGGTTGCCCCCGTTTTGGCCTCTGCAATGCCCCGGGCCATGTCCATCTGCCCGGCCATGAATGGTAATCTGGTTGACGCCGCCGTGTCCATTGTGGCAACAGCCGACACCGAGCGGCTGGGCTCTGA